CCTAGGCTCCTCTGCCTTTCTTTACTTTCAGAGTAGAGAAAAATCATCAGGGATAATGAAGTGAAAGAAAGACTATTAAGAAGTAGTAGTTGAGGGGGCTGGAGAGATGGTTCAGAGGTTAAGAGAACTGACTGCTCTTCCAGAGGTCCTGAGTTCAATTCCCAGCAACCCTGTAGTGTCTCATGACCATCTGTAATGAGATCTGGTGCCCTCTTTTGACTTCCGTGGATACATGCAGGCAGAAAGCTGTATACATAATAAATAAATACATCTAAAAAAAAGTAGTAATTGGGGTGGGTGTGGTGGCATACACCTTTAACCCCAGTATTCAGTGAGCACAGACTGAAGGCAGATCTCTGTGAGTTCGAAGTCAGTCAAATCTACATTGCAAGTTCCAGGCTACCCAGGGCTACATAGTAGGACCCTGTCTAAAAAAAAAAAATCCAAAGAATTCTTATTTAAGAATAGCTACAGATCTGATACCTTTTCACTCTCATGCTCAGTATATACTTCCTAAAAACAAGGCCATTCTCCTTCACAGCACAATGAATAAGTCAGACTAACACTGAAGGAATACTGCTATCTACTGTACAAGTTTATTCATATTTTGTTTGCCATCCTAGTAACTTTGTTTTTAGCAAAAGAAAACAAAAGTTTTAGGCATGTAGCTTAGCTGGTAGAATCTTGCCTAGGATACATGGAGTCTTAGGTTCCATTCCTAGCATTCAATAAAACTAGGCCTTCTGCAGCCCATGACTACAATCCCAGAATTGACGAGCTAGAAGCAGAAAAAACAGAAGTTCAAGGTCATCCATGGTTGAACAGTGAGACCCTTTATCAATCAGTTGATTGATCCATCAATAGTAAATTAAAATAAATCAACCTAGGATCTTTCATTGTCATTTATCTTAGTCACTTCTAATCTAGAATGATTGACTTATGTCTTTCCTTGGCTTTATTTTTATGTTTACTTATTTATTTTGGTTTTTCAAGACAGGATTTCTCCTATGTAGCCCTAGCTGTCCTGGAACTCACTCTGTAGACCAGGCCAGCTTCAATTATCTACCTGCCTCTGCCTCCCAAGTTCTAGTATTAAAGGCGTGTGCCACCACCACCTGGTAAAGATTTATATATTTATGTATTTTATGTATATGAGTGTTCTGTCTCCATGCATGCCAGAAGAGGGATTTAGATCCCACTACAGATGGTTGTGAGCCACCATGTGGGTGCTAGGAATTGAACTCAGGACCTCTGGGAGATCAGCTAGTGTGCTCAAGTGCTGAGCCATCTCTCCAGCCATCTTTACTTTTATTTTGTGACTGGGTCTCATATAGTTGAGGCTAGCCTTGAACTCCTTATATAACCAAGGATGACCTTGAACTCCTGATCTTCCTGCTTTCATCTTCCAAGTTAGGACTACAGGCATCCAATCAACACCATACCCAGCTTTGTTTTCTTGTCTCTAAGGACCCTCACAATTTGAAGGATGTAGGACAGTCATTTTGCAGCCTGTCCCTTAGTTGGGTTATTTCTGGTGTTTCCTCATAGTTAGATCTGGGCTGTGCATTTTGGCAAGCACATCACAGACGTAGAGCTGTGTCAGGACATCACATAAGAGGCAATGAGCATTGATTGTACTATTCCTGTTCCCATTTCCCTTTGTAAATGACTGTTTTAGGAAGAAAATTTGAGACATACATTTCCTGCTCAACATCTATTTGTTAGTAGTTGTAGATTATTACTGTGATGGTTTGGGAAAGAGATTTTAAAATATTTATCTCATTAGTAAAAGAGACAAGGAAAAAGTAGGCGAGAACCCAGATGTTAGCAGAGAATGCGTTGCAGCTGGGAACTAAGATGGTTTTAACCCTGTTGTCTTTCATCAGGGTTGGATGGAGAAGGTAGGAGCACTTGCTATGAGAGCTTGATGATCATCGTTACAGTTCACAGATCCCTGGGCAGAGGGAGACAAATGACTCCTGAAAGCTGTCCTCTGACATCCACAGGGCACTGTGGCATTCACATGCCCACACTCACATACATGAACCGTATATAACATGCAGTAAAAATGTTAAAAAAAATGTAAATTTAAAAAACAGGACCTGGGCCGGGCGGTGGTGGTGCATGCCTTTAGCCCCAGCACTCAGGAGGCAGAGGCAGGCGGATCTCTGGTCTACAAGAGCTAGTTCCTGGACAGCCTCCAAAGCCACAGAGAAACCATGTCTCCACCCCCCGACCAAAAAAAAAAAAAAAAAAAAAAGCAAAACCCCAAAACCAAAACCAATTTAAAAAAAAACCAAACAAACAAAAAAACAGGTCTTGGGACGTACACCCTGGGTTTCAATGCAAGCACCAAAATAAATGCAAATAAGACAGCACAAATTTGTTGATTCAGTTAGACAGAGCTCCTCACTGTGACATCTGTTTTGTTTTTTTTTTTTCCCTTGGCAAGTGCATGGTCTCCTTTCAAGCTCTGGGCTCCCACTCCAAGCCCAGCCCATGATGTTCTCTCTACACAAAGCTGTTGCAATCATCTCCAGCTGCTGGGGAGCTAAAGACTAATTCCTAAGTGGGGAAGCTGACTGTTTCA